ATATTCTAATTTTCTTTGAAAATTTAACTTGCATAATAAACGTTTTTTAGCTTTCTTAATTTCAAGTAGATTCTGAATATAAAGTCCCATTGGAAAGTTTCATGATTGCAAGCTCAGACGGCAACAAAATGTAGAAACGTTACATGGGTGGGGGTAAATACTTATGCAAGGCACTGTACACTTCAGTAAAACTAAGAAAATACACTAGCGTTTTTTCGTTACACCAGTGTGAAATAATCTTTCAGAACAACTTTTTTTTTACAAGTTAAAATACCACAAAATCTTCTAGATTTGACACCAACCATCGCAGTTGAAGAAATCGCAGAAGAACACCTGGACGCATTTTTCAACAGTTGATACAACTACATCCGTACACCATTCTTTGTTTAACCTGCAAATGTGCTATTAGCTAAAGCAAGTGGCATAAATAATGGTGATTTATACGGTTGTATCGATTGCATGGGGATGATGACAAGAAACTGTTAATCTAAATTCCATGGCGTTAGTATAAAAGGTGCTATTAACACTGTTTTAGAGAGGAAAACTACCATCCTATATTTTGAAGAATCTGGTTGGTTCTGTAAATATGTTCCGAATAATAGGATTGCGATCTTTAAAGCTAATGTTGGTTACTATCGAGTGTCACTATCTTATTTGGTGTGGTTTGTTAGTGTATATTAAAGTCATGATATGTAATCAAAAACACCTAAGGGCATGTTCAACTTCGGGCATGATGGTGGGTAAAATAAAATACGCGGCCTAGCTAACTAATGAAAAATATTTGCTGTAAAATTCTTATCAATGCTATAAGTGTAGTTACTAATTTGACCGCCAATTTTAATGTTATTCCTTTAAGTTGCACATTGAATCCTTTTTTGGCCGCACCTTTTTTCACACCTAAGATGTTTTTGATTGTACTTAAGATTATTAGCTTACGCGTAAACCTAAGCTTAAGCCATTTGCTATTTCCTTGTATACAAAAGTCTTGTTTCGTATTTGCACAATATAAGATGTATGCATTTGTTTGATATCTTTTTCAGATTTATATAATATTTCAAATAAAATATTCATGTTTACAATTACTTTTTACTATGTTCCCTTTTTCTCTTTTCAATGGTTTAAAATCTATTTATGGAATTGTAGGTTATTTCGATTCTGAAGAGATTATTACTCCAGACATGACGCTAAACAATATTTAATAAGGATAGTTTAATAAAATTTAGTAAATTTGTGCTGAAAAGTTGGCATTGGATAATCAATAATAACCGTCCACCCGTACGATTCTTTGAAAACTTGAGCTAGGATTAGAAACTGCTAATCTAGTTTGCTTGGCCTAAACAATACTTATGTAGCCGCACGTCCTTCCACCTTAGCTATGCTGTTCTAAATCAACCGTCTTTAATCCGAATGACTAAAAGTTAAAACGGTACACTTTTACTTTTAGGTGAAGCTGCAGTAAAAATGTTAGACCGTAGGCGTGCGCAAAAATATTTTACGTTTGAGCGGTTTTTGTTGAATAACTTTAAACATGTGGCTAATTTTTATACTAAATGAGACTCCTAATTGTAGATTCTAAAGATCTATCAGCGTATCAGACTTGAAAAAAATCCATAAAAGTTAAGTACGTTTTTCTATCAAATAAACTTTCTGAATTATTGGTTTAAAAACAACAACAAAAACAAAACGAACTCAATCAAATTTGGAGATGTTATATCTCAGGTATTTCTTAATGGATTATCTTGGAATTAGGTATGTGAAGTAAGCCTAAGAATCCACTGAATGCACATCCACTGAAACTGTGATAGTTTGGATTACCACAGTCCGAGCAATAGAAGGTGGAAAATCGCTAAACTATCACTCCTGTTAATAACACACAATGTGTCCTGCAGGTTATTTTGGCCGCACGACACACTACCACAGTGCCTTTCTAATTCTAGTGAAAATAATGTATTTAACTGCACTTTCGAAATGTTTCCAATGGCAAAATTATTACAAGTTAAAAGATTGGCAATAATATTGGTTAAAAAACACAAGCAATGCTCTTATTAATATTATCTATATACAAAAAATAATATTAAATATGTTTATAAAGCAAAAGTTATACCAGCAAAAAACAAGATTTACAGTAAAGTTCAATGACTTCCCTATAATACTTACTTGTTGATCCAACAAAAAACAGGTAGCTTTTAATCATGCATACTTTCAATAATTTTTTAAAAGTTCTTTCATCTCTGTTACAGTGCCGATTTTTGTTAGTTTTAATTTTTTCACTCTCTTCCTTTTTCCACGTCTTCTCTCTAGCATATTTCTTTTCATTCCAGTTCAATTTTTTAAGTGCTTTGTTACTCGGCGGATTTCTACTACTACTCTCGTTCTCGGAAACTTTTCCTATATTTTGTGTATTCGTATAAGTTGTACTTTCCTCTTCAGTTGGTTTGGGTATCTTTAATTCCAAATTCCCTCCAGTTTCTTTATCCTGCTTACGAGTTACATTTATGCCATTTACCAGCTTATTCACTATTTTGTCATCAGTTTCTTGACTATCTTCTAGAGCATATTTCTTTGAAGTATTTTTCTTTAGGTTCTTGTCATTATTTATTGAATTTTCAAACTTTTTGTTTTTACCCCTTTCTTTAATACTTGGCCTCTCGATTTCATTTAATTGTGTTTTCACAGTTCCATTCAGGATTTTATAATTTTCGTTCCCATATACTGATTCTGGTTTGCTTGTTGTTTGATTAACACCCTTTTCTTCTTCATTGTAACTATCAGTAAAGATCCATATTTCTTGATCTTTTACCTTGGATTTTTTAGCTTTCCCTTCTCTCTCAGTTGTACTTTGTGTCACCAGAACTTTATTTTCAACTTCTTCAACTGAAACTTTTATTTCACGTAGTGTTACTTCCTTTATTTCTTTCGGTGATTTTTCATTTACAACAGCTTTTAAATCAGTTTCATATCCCACATTCTTAGTCTGTTCCTTTATTCTCATTTTATCCGACTCTTTAGTTTCACGATTGTGGAAGGTTACTTCCTCCACTTCCGTTCCCGCTGTATTTCCTTTCATAACGAAATATTCAGTTTCCAATGAAAAACTTTCATTATTAGCTTGTAGTCCAATTTCTTTTATTCCATTATTTTCTTTCTTGTTTTTTTGCGTTTGATATTTGCTTGTTTTTGACTGTACATTTGATTTACTCTCATTTAAAACTAAATTCACCGTTTCAGAAATAACTTCATTATCCTCAGTTGCCTTTTCCCGAGAATCTTTGTTTCTCATTAGATATTTATTAGCCTTTTCCTGCTCGTCCATTCCCTTCGCATTTGGCAGCATATCCACGATTCTAGTAACAATTTCGGTAGTTTTCGATGTTTCTTTACTGTCCTCTTCTTTTAATATATTCAAAACGTTGTGATCATAACCTTTTCCCATCTGCTTTTCATTGTTATTCTCACTTGAAAACGAGGCCAAGTTTGCTGGAATAATTTTACTGTCCTCTACATCATATTTCTCTTTCTTTGTTCCATTTACTAGATATCGGTATTTTGGTTTTGTATGCTCTAGTATCCCTTTCTCAATGAAAAAATTCTCAGACTTCGATGTGATTTCACTGCCGTCAATATTTTCTTGGTACCCCTCTTTTATTGAACTTGTGTATCCGTCTGTATTTGCTTCTGTTTGCTCTTGCATTCCCTTTTTACTCGATAACATATTCGCACTTTTTATTTTATTATTTTCTCTTGCTTCTTCATACTCATTTGTCTTTGATTCCAACTGGTATTTATCTATGTTTTTTTCTGTGTACTCTTGCATTTCATTTTCGGTCATTAATGAATCCCTTACTTTAATAATTTCAGTTACATCCGTTGTTTCTTCATATTTGTCTACTGAAACTGTTATAACGTATTCACCCGTTTTCGTTTCTTTGTTCTCTTTAGTTCCATTTTCGTTCAATAATGAGTCTTCTGTTTGTTTTATAATTTCACTGCTCTGCGTTGTGTTTCTGTAACCCTCTTCCTCTGAATCCATTATTCCATGTTCAACTGCACTTGTTTCTTTGTTCTCGTTAGTTCTATTTTCACTCAATAATGGGTCCTGTATTTCTTTTATAATTTCACTATTCCGCGTTGTGTTTTCGAAACCCACTTCCTCCGAACCAGTTATTACGTATTCATCTGTATTTGTTTCTTCTGTCCTCTTTAATTCCATTTTCACCCAATAACAAGTCCTGTATGTTTTTCACGATCTCACTGCTCTGTGTTGTGTTTCCGTAACCCTCTTCCTCTGAATCCATTATTCTACGTTCAGCTGCACTTGTTTTTTTGTTCTCGTTCGTTCTATTTTCACTCAATAATGGATCCTGTATTTCTATTATAATTTCATTATTCCGCGTTGTGTTTTCGAAACCCACTTCCTCCGAACCAGTTATTACGTATTCATCTGTATTTGTTTCTCTGACCTCTTTAATTCCGTTTAGTAACGAATCTTTTACTTGTTTTACGATTTTACTGATCTCAGTTTGGTTTTCGTACCACAGTTTCTCCAAATCCAGTGTTACGTACTCATCCATTTTTGTTTCTTTGTACTCTTTAGTTTCATTTTCACTCAACGAGTTCTGTATTTCTTTTATAATTTTACTTTCCTGCGTTGTGTTTTCGAAACCCACTTCCTCCGAATCCGTTATCACGTATTCATCTGCAATTCTTTTTTTGCCCTCTTTAATTCCATTTTCACTCAATAACAAATCCTGTATTTTTTTCACGATTTCACTGCTCTGCGTTGTGTTTCCGTAACCCACTTCCACTGAACCCATTATTCCATGTTCATCTGCACTTGTTTTTTTGTGTAAAAGATTCGTTATTAAACGGAATTAAAGAGGTCAGAGAAACAAATACAGATGAATACGTAATAACTGGTTCGGAGGAAGTGGGTTTCGAAAACACAACGCAGAATAGTGAACTTGTAAGAGAAATGCAGGACTCATTGAGTGAGAATGAAACTAAAGAAGTTGTTTTACGAGTTCACTGATCTCAAATTCGTTTCCGTACCACATTTTCTCCAAATCCAGTGTTACGTATTCATCCATTTTTGTTTCTTTGTTTTCTTTAGTTCCATATCCACCCAATAATGAGTCCTGTAGTTTTATTTCACTGCTCTCAGTCTCTTTTTTGTACTTTTTATTTTCTGAATGCATTATATATGCTTCTGTAGTAGTTTTAATTTTCTTTACGCGATTATCGTCTTTTGACCCTTTCTGAAGGACATACTTGTCGTAACCTTCTTTTGACTGGTCTTGTGTTACATTGTCATTCGATATCTCTAGGGCTACAAAATCCCCATTTAAATCTCCTTGCTTCTTTTCCCATTTATGTTTTTTGTTGTATACATGTTCATCGAACAATGCTTGTTCTTCCATTGTAGTTTCAATTTTTTGGGGGAATTCTTTATGATCTTTCATCCATAGTTTTTTTTCGTTTGAGACAGTCTCCTCGAATTTGTGTTCAATATTTCGTGGGTTATATTGAGTCATATTTATACCAGCTAAGCTATACATTGTTTTATTGAACATTTTATTTTTCAGAGTTCCTTCTTGCTTTACCTGTTCTTCTGAATTCACCATTTCATAGGAATATTCACTTGTTTCTGTGTCGTTTTGCTTGAAATTTTTATTCAAGAAATAATTCATTGCTATACTTTCTATTTCACTCAGATCCGTTGTCTTTTGTTCCTTCCCAAAATAATGCCTTTGCTTCACCTTTTCTGTTACATCTTGTTGTTGCAAGTCGTTTTCATATGCGAATGAATTTACTGGGCTTAGAAACTTGCTGCTGTTTGTTTCGCTTTGATTTGTTTCTGCTTTTGGCTCATTCACATTCTCACTCTTAAGCATTTGGTTTTTTCCCTTGTTTCCTGTCGTTAGCAAACACACTATTAACTTAAAAGTTACTTTAAGTGCAACCTCTCTCTTTCTTTTTGTGCTCTTTGGATGTAATTTATTTTCTCTTTTGATTTCATTTAAGTACTTATGAAAACTTCCAGTAATTTCAGTTTCTTTTTTAACGCTATTTTCATTTTGTAAAACAACCACGTTACCATTAGATAATTCACTTTGTTCTTCGTGCTCTGTGGTGGATTCATTTAAATTTCTTCTTCTGTACTCTTTCTCCAATGTTTCTGTCCGTTTTTGGGTTTTGTTTATGTTTGATGAGAAATTATTTTTAGTTGTGTTCAGCTCTTCCCATTGTTTCACATGTTTTCTTGAATATTTTTCAATTACAGTTTTATTCTCATTCGTTTTTCTGGATGCTAATATTTTTGCTTCAGCTGATTTTCTTTCCTTTCGTTCTGCACCTGTACTCGTTTCAAGTTTATTCGCACCTTTGTATCTTTTCTCTTTACGCTTATGACGATCAAGTTTCACGTTTGTTTTTGTGACCTTATTCTGTTCTAGATCCTTCATTTTTTCTCTCATAGTCTTTTCGTTTTCCTTCATTACAAACTTGCCCTGCTTCCTTACCTTTTGGTTCTTCTCTACCTTACCGTTAATTTCAGAAGTAATTCTAGTCCACTTTGCTTGCTCCTGGGTCCCAATTTTATTTTTTATTAAATTTCCAGATATATCAGTTCTTAAATAATCAGTTTCAGTTACTTCTCCAACCTGTCCTTTATTACCGTTTGGTTTCATTTGGAATTTATTTTCACTTTGTTTCATTTGCACCTTTTCAATTGACGTAGATTTCAAGTTTTCGTTTCCTTTCGATAAATTTCCTATTTTGTTTGTGCTCGTATTTAATTGTATTTGAAATACCGTATCAGTATTTTGACTTAGATTTCCACAGTTCATGGTTTCAATGCTTTCATTTTCTTTTCTTTTTTCATTTGACTTTTGCTTTTTTAATCTTATTTCTCCTGTCACATTATTTATCGGCTCCTTCTCATCTATTTTTTCAAGTCCTTTTATGCGTTTTAACTTTTCACTTCGTATTTGTACTTGCCTTTTACTCCTTGGTTTCTCGCCTTTATACCAGTTTTCATTAAGTTTATTGTCTTCATCTTCCTTATTCTCATTTTCCCGTTTTTTCCTGCGATATCCATCGATGTTGCGACTATTACTTAGGAATGGTTTATATCTGTACTTAAATACTTCACTAAGATGTTCAGTATGGTACACCAATTGTTTTTTTTTATCATCCTTATTACGACTATTATGCTCTTTCAAAGGAATAGTTTGCTTTATAGCTGCCATTTCGTTAGCACCCTGACAGGCCTCCAAGTGTTCCATGAAACTGTTAACAACCTTTCGTTGTTGTATGGAAACATTTCTGATCTTTGTACTAAATATTAGGTTTTCAAAATCACCTGGTTCACTCATTTTAACCATAATTAAGTCGATCATCTCATAATCTTTCAATAACCAATCCCATGAGCCTTTAAAATTGAATCTTTCTGTTATTAATGACCAAATATCCATCACAAAGATTTGCCACGATTCGTAATGGTGGTTTAAAGTTAAACGTTTTTCAGTTTTTTGCACAGTTCCTGACAAACTCCATCTTGTCAAATACACAGAACAGCATCTACTCCACAAACTTTCATTAGAATTGTCATAATAACTGTGACCATATTTAGGTTTACCTTCAAAATTCTTATTTATCAATACAAAATGTTTTGTTCCTTTTACGCTAGTTCTTTGAAATTTTGTTGAACCAACATCAGTATCTTTATTTCGAATACTTTCAATTCCTCGTTCCATACTGTTGAATTTTCCTTTCGTATCATAATTAATAATTTTGTCCATTTTATCTTCCACACCTCGAGGGATTGTCGAGTTGAAACTAACATTAAATTCTTCATCTTTATCATTCCACGAACTCACATCAACTACAACACAAACAAAAATAAAGCTAACGGTACTGAAAACTAACGATATAGTAATATTACCCATTCTTCTTCACCAAACTTAACTTGCCCTTATCCAACTCTAACAATAAAGCATGCAACACTAGCATAAAAATTAAGGCGAAAAAATATTATTACCCACCATACTCTGCGTTGCTCTCATGTCCAATCATCTTCGTAATTTACTACTTTTTTAAAACTGAGTTTAAGTTAAAAGTTAAAAAGTGCTTATAAAAATAAAATTTGGTTCACCAGTATTTTATGTATAATTTTTTATCCTTAACTTACACATTTTACTACTTAATGAGTTTGTCATTTATATTAGATCATTAGAATAGAAATATTTTTACAAAGTGTCTGAAGTTGCAAAGTATGGGTTGATATGATAGAAAAATTATGATAACCATGTAGTTGTTTGGTTTAAAAAATAATAACCTTTTATAATTATGATAAATCAAATACTTTTGATAATATTTCCTCACAGCTAAGTAGTTATACCGTGGGTAAGACTCTTTTTTATCAGAAATCCTTAGACACACTCCAAGCTGTTTCCAAACCCTTCCCCCCTCCCCCTCTACCCAAAAAATCATTCAGACTATGTGGTATTTAGATATTGTTACGCGCTGCATGAGGGTGTGATAATTACTTACAGCATAAAGATGTTTGAAGAAATCTTATTGATCTTTTGGTAAAAAAAAGACAGTGTTTCCAAACGTCTTCACAGAATAATGCTGCTAGGTAATTATTTAATACTTTTTTTAATTTGATAAGTCTTTATGACTAAATCCGCAATAAAAAAATGTATAAAAAAGGCGCTGGTGAACAACTCTGAGTTTGGTTGTCGCTATACATAAAAATATTAAAACTGCAGGCGGATAAAATAGTTTTCACTGAGATCTGAAATATTTTGAAAGCTATTACTGTCATTTTTCACGTGAGTTGCTCCACTTTAGTAATGCATTATAAATTCTGTTATAGGAAAGACTGAGAAACACTGCCCCTGCGTATCAGTTCAAATTAGGAACGGACAACACAAATAGCCCTTGAGTAGCTTTATGCGAACATCTGACAACACACAAATAAGTAACAAAGACTCAATACAAAGTGAGGAATCTTTTATACCCTGTAAACTGTTATATTTTGCTTGAAGTTAAGCATAAAGCCATACAATGGACTATCTGTGCTCTGCCCATCTGGAGAATCCAAACCCAATATTTAGCGTTATAAGCCCATAAAACGTTATAAAAATCGTTTTCTAAATCTATGAAAATTATAATTATCAAAGTTGCAAGTAATTTTAATTAACGAAAAGTATAATTTTAGTCTACCAATAAAGGAAGAAAGACGAGCTAAATATGGTCTTGTGGTTAGTGTAATATGGTCCAAAGAAAAAAAATCATTGTTTAAAGAAGATGCTCCACGGATTCATTGATGTGAGGCCTTGCAGCTTGTTGATCGACACTGGTTCAACAACTACAACAGCTTGACCCGATTTGGTAATGAAAGGTGGGAAAATTCCTCCAAATATGAAAAACGAAGACGGAGTGATACAAACTGCAAGTGAGCATAAAGTTTTAGCAAAGGGAAGTTAGAAGTTATCCTTTCTGTGGTAAACTTTTTATGCCTCATGATGTGAGGGTAATTGTGATTGAGCGTATTGGGAACTGAGTTCATGTGAAAGTATGAATCGAGGTTTGGATAACTTCAAATAAACTTACAGTATATGACCAGGAACTTTTTGTGCACTACATAGCAATTACCAACACCAGAGGTTTGACTTTCCGTGACAACAAGTAGAGCAGTCATTGTAAATTTAATTTAATCTAGTGATTGGGCCATAATAGAAAAAAACATTTCAGCGTATCCTGATGGATCAATGGTTGGCAGAACTTTTGTAGACCTGAATAATGAAGATATCGTTATTAAGGCCATGAATAAAACAAACCATAAGATCCGAGTCAAGTCTGCATAAAACATTGCAAGATGTGGGGCTTTACAGGAAGTACTTCCACGTCAAAATACATCAAAAGTAGTCACCTTTGAGGAAAGATGTGGAAAGTCTGTTAAACTTTTACCTGATGACAGCTTACCACCTCACTTAAAGAAATTATATGACTGGAAGTCTTACAACAGATCAACACCAGTAGTTACATAACTTGTTCAAGAATATCAAGAAATCTTCTCTAATACACCAGGTAGTTAGATGATTTCGGATTTCCACTTCCAAAACAGTCTGAGGCTTTCAAAGAGATAGAAGCCATGAAAGAACAACGAGAGACAGAACCGAGTACTAATCCTTGGGCGTCACCTATTGTTCTTGTGAAGAATAAGGATGGATCCATAAGGTTCTACATGGACTAACGGTATGTGAATAAAGTTACGAAGAAGTGCCGAGGATCGTCTCTACCTTGGATGCTTTTTCAGTATTGAAATGGTTTTCTACATATGGTCTTAAAAATGGATATTGGCAATTGGAAGTATATAAAACAACTAGAAAGAAGATTGCCTTTGTCAGAGGAAATGGAGCGTAGCAGCTTGTCGAGTTAGCATTTGGATTATGTAATGCTACTGCTACATTTCAATAGTTGATGGAGTGTGTTCTATCTGAACTACCCTCGAACATCGTGCTCATCTACTTTGATGATATAATTGCACATGGGCAAACCTTCTAAACTGTTTGAGGTGTTATGGTATGGCTGTACAGTTCCCACTGCAAGAAAGGATGAAATCCAAAAGTTAAGCAGATGCTGGGAGAGACCATATTTTGCATTGTAAAGAATCAATGGTATTGTTACGTATCTGCTTGTTTGTTAATTTCCCGTAGAAATTATTTCCGAAAAACTTCAGCGATACAAGTCCTTTCTTAATT